TGGGGTGAACAGCAGCAACTGCTGCTGCTGCTGCAGCAACAGCAGCAACAGCTGCCACAGCAGCAGCAGCAGCAGCAGCTGCTGCTGCAGCTGCAGCAACAGCAGCGTGGCCTCGTGGGCATCACAGCCATCTGCGCTACTCACCTTCAGCACCCCCGCCTATTGGGGGAGGCGCTGCAGTTGCGCTTGCTGCTGACAGCAGCAACAGCAGCAAAGACAGTAGCAACAGAGGCAACAGCAGCAAACGAAACAGCAGCAGCAGCAGCAGCAGCGGCTACTCCTGCTGCTGCAGCACAGGCAGGAACGGCAGCAGATCCTTCCTGCTCTTTGGCTCCATCTGAGGACGTTCAGCTCGGCCGGTTTGTTACCTCTGTTCTTGCGAGTTGTTACTCCCCTATGCAGCAGCAGCAGCAGCAGCAGCAGCAGCAGCAGCGGCAGCAGCAGCCGCAGCCGCAGCAGGCCTGGGACATGCTTGTGTTCTTGCTTGGGGGACACGAAGCCGCAGCAGCAGCAGCAGCTCGCGCTGCTCTCCGCGCTGCAGCAGCGAGAGAAGAGATTGAGGAACAGCAAGAGCCACGGCAAGGGCTTCAGCAGCAGCAGCAACAGCAGCAGCAACAGCAGCAGCTGCAGCAGGTGTGGACCAGCGAGCAGCAGCACGGGTCGCGGCCATCGCTCCGCATGCAGCTGGAGGTTGCAGCAGCACTAAGCAGCAGCACACTGCAGCAGGAAGTACGTAGCTGTCTGTACACCGTAGATATGCTGCTGCCACCGTTGCCTCTGTTGTCACTGTGCTGAGTATCATCTGCTCACTTCTTTTTAGTTTCTTGCTGCTGCTGCTGCTGCTGCTGCTGCTGCTGCTGCTGCCTCTGTTTGCAGCTGCATCGTCTGTGTGCAGCTGCATGCAACACCTCCCTGCAGCAGCAGCAGCAGCAGCAACAGCAGCAGCAGCTCCCCACGGCTCCCCGCAGCCCTGGCTGCTCGCTGGGCGGGGGGGGTGGGGGGGTTCAGCTGCCGCTAATTAACCCTAAACCCTAAACCCTAAACCCTAAACCCCGAAATCTATCGCATGTTAATACAATGGAGGATTTGGTTTTGTATTTCTCTTTGGGGGGGCTGTATATACACACACACTGCATGCAAAGGAGTGTGGGGGGAGGCGCAGGTGTATGTACACCCTTTTCTTTCTTTCCTCTCGGCTGTGTGAGGTTCTGGCGGGTCCTGTGGGCGTGTTTGTTAGGTTTTTTAGGGTTTAGGGTTTATGTTTGAGGGTTTAGGGTTTAGCACCTAGGGTTTAGGGTTTAGGGTTTTGCTAGGGAGGAGCTCGGGGTGGGGCGCACTGGGGGCGTCCTTCATCGCCTCCTGCTGTATAGGCCCGCCGGCCCCTTTGTGTTGCTGCTAGCCGTGTTTAAAGCATTTATATGGTCGTGCATTGGTGGGGGAGGAATTATATATATATAAAATACAAAAGAAACACACAGAAGAGCAGATATGTACGTGAGGCTGTATGCGTAGCACACACAGAGCCGCGCCTGCTGGGGGCGGACCGCTAGCTGCGGGTGCTGCAGCAGAGAAGGATTCGTTTCTGTGTCACTGACATGCAATAAAAGGAAAAAAAAGAGGTAGTTTAGATATAAAGAATAAAATAAAACATTTATTTCGAGTTTATAGTGACGAAAAACACATACAACAACCCTCAGCTGTACGTACTGCTGCTGGTCCGGTGCGCCCCGCAGCTGAGCGACGGCTGCGGCTCCAGCGGCCTCTGCTGCTGCTGCTGCTGCAATAGGCAAAAGAAGAACAAAAAGAATAAAAAGAATAAAAATAGTTTTATAAACATTAAATAAAAATCCTTAATTAAAAATATAAGGTTGAGGAAAGCTAGGACTCAGCGGAAGGCTGCGTGCTGCTGCTGCTGCTGCTGGGCCCGGGGGCGGGTGTTGCAGCGCAGCAGCAGCAGCAGCAGCCATAGGTCTGCTGTTGCTGCTGGTGTTGCAGCAGCAGCAGCAGCAGCAGCACAAGCAGCAGCACATATCGTGGTACCACGTTTCTAGTTGAATTTTTGGCTTATACTTCAGGTCTTATTCCCGCTTCCTTTCTCCTTCTGTTTTGTATCTTCTCGGTGCCCGTGGTGAGGCGCAAAGGGAGCAGCAGCAACAGCAGCAACAGCAGCAGCAGCAGCAAGATGGGTTGCGTTAGCAGCAAGCAGGGAACCACCCCTGCACAGAGGCAGCAAACTGCTCAGGGTAAATCTTCTAAACCCTAAACCCTAAACCCTAAACCCTAATTTGTGTTTTCTCTCATCGCTCGCTCTGTCCCGCGGCCGACGTCCCGCTGCTGCGCTCCCCGCAGCAGCAGCAGCAACGGCAGCAGCAGCAGCAGCAGCAGCAGCAGTGACAGTGGCTTCCTTCTTTCACTTAATCATTGTCATACATTGAATTTCTGGCTGTTTGCATGCAGTGTGTATTGTGTTGCTCGTTAGAGCTGCATTTGCTGCTGCTGC